CGCGCATGCGCGAGGATGCCGCCGGCCTCGTTCCAACCGAACCGGTTGGAACGGGGCGAGAAACCCACCCCTGTAGCACAGAATATATTGTACTTCAATAGGATTTTCATATGGTTGAAACCATGCACTATCAGGAAGGAAAGTATTTCTTCTCTCCATCACACATACACAAACATACATAGCCTTACAACATGCTGCTACTTCATATATCACATACTGTCAAGTGAGTTTAAACATCTGATTATAGAACATAATAGAATAACAGAGTTGGAAGGGACCTTGGAGGTTTTCTAGTCCAACCCTCTGCTTAGGCAGGAAACTATACCATTTCAGACAAATAGTTATCCAATCTCTTCTTAAAAACTTCCAGTATTGGAGCATTCACAACTTTTGGAGACAAGTTGTTCCACTGATTAATTGTTCTAACTGTCAAGAAATTTCTAGGTTGCTTCTCTCCTTGATTAGTTTCCACCCATTGCTTCTTGTTCTACCCTCAGGTGCTTTGGAGAATAGCTTGACTCCCTCTTCTTTGAGGCAGGGCATACATGGGGGTGGGGCATGGCGGGGGTGTTCATGCACGCATTGCATTATGGGTGCGGGCACGCAGGGGCGCTATTGCACACTGTTGCGTGTGCTTTTGCCACACAATGACAAAAAGGTTAGCCATCACTGGTACATACCATAGAAACTGCTTTATATCGATCAAAGATATAGGCATATTCTTTGACCTCTATAAAACCTCCAGATTCAAATTTGGTATCTCAGTCTACTCTCCTGCTGTCTTTAACTTGCTTTTGAGTCTGCAGAGACAGCTTAATCCCATGAATCTGTTCTAAGTCACTTGACTGCCTTTGAGGCGTGCTGAACTCTTAGAAAAACTCTTTAACATTTTAATTGGTCTCAGTTTTTATTTATTAAAACAGAAGGCAATAAATCTGAGAGTTCCTGGGATAATCAAAGGCTCATAGAAATGTTCAGAAATAAAACTAAGGTGACCCCACTATCATTGACAAGGTGTGAATGTTAAGAAACTTGCCTCAATTTTCATTTTAAAAAAATCATAATTAAGCATAACATTTCTAAAATTTAATGTTTAAATTTTAAAGGTTATGATGTTTCAGATCCACAATACAGAATAGTTCTTCCAGTCTATGTTGCTTCTTGTTTAAAAAAACCTTTTCCATCTTGTACAATGGCAAATTATCTGATAATATTTTTAAGTTGATATTTTAATAATATTAAAAAAAATACAATTTAAAATATAATAAAGTATAAAAGTTAAAACTGTTGCAATGGCTTAGATCCACAAAGCAAAATAGTTCTTCCAGACCATGTTGCTTTCTTGTGTCAAAAACGCTTTTACAATGTAATGTACAATGGGAAATTATTTGAAATTAACAAATGCTGGCTGATTGTTAAGAATAGATTAGATTAGATTAGATTAGATTAGATTAGATTAGATTAGATTAGATTAGATTAGATNTTTTTTTTTTTAAAATTTGAGATATATATATATATATTACCTTCATTGTTTTTAGCCATTTTTCATGTTACTTGTCTCCCCCCCCCCTCCAATTTTCATTTTAGGTTCTAAGTTTGATTTGATTTTTTGATTTGATTATCATGCTTTGGAATAGATTTCTGCTCTCTCTCTTGTTCATTTCACCCTATCGCTTTCTGCTTCCAACCTCCTCAGTATCACCCAGGTGAGACAGACAGCGATATACCTTAAACCTTAGCGATATATTCTTAGAAAAATGTGGGGTTTCCCAAATGAATGAAATGCCCCCTATTTTATGCATGTATTATTTTAGCAGCCCTTTTCCCACCCCATTTGCCTAAAACAAGGCTAAGATAAAATGCTCTTCTGCCTGTTCCTCTTTTCAATGTGAGAGGTGCTTAATTTTCCTTTCTTGTTTGCAGGCCAACAATTACGGAGTTCAGCTAGTTCTCCAAAGTACGTCTTCGGCAGAAAGAAACAGAGCTGTGAGACTTGTATTTTTATTATAAACATTTAGAGAACTACCCCCCACCCCCAGCTCCCGACTGAAGTTGTGTAGTGAATTTGGTGTTTTGTGATGTCTTCTGATGTGGGTGCGTAGATGTGCCGTCTCTTGTTCTTCTTATGCTCACGCTTCTTGCATGCTTTGTGTTGTGGTGAGCACCGTTTACACCTCCCAAGCACATCCATTATTCCCGTTGTTGGAATTAATAAAACTTACCTTAAATAAAGAAGCAGTAATAAGGTTCAATCAATGAGTGGGAATGGTTTTGCGAAAACCCCTGGAAAACGTAGCCCTATTAGCCTTCTCGTGACATAATTTGAGAAATGTCACTGAAACTGGCCACTCCTTTTATTTATTAAATCGATTAATAAGCCGCCCAATCCCGGAGGACTCCGGATGGCTTACATCGAAGAAAGAAGAATAATTTAAAAAAAAATAGCAATAAAAACATGTTAAAACAACACACATACATTCGTTACGATCGGGGCTGGACCTCAACAATGAGGTCAACAGCCCCAGGCCTGCCGGAATAGCCAGGCTTTCACAGCTTTTCTGAAGGCCATGAGAGTGGGTAAGGTCCGGATTTCTGGGGGTAGCCACAGAGGGTCGGGGCAGCCACAGAGAAGGCCCTCCTCCGGGGAGCCGCCAGTCGACATTGTCTGGCTGACGGCATCTGAAGGAGGCCCA